AGAGAGAGAGAGAGAGAGAGAGAGAGAGAGAGAGAGAGAGAGAGAGAGAGGTGGGATTGAAGGGAGGCACCTAAGATCCAGACGAGAGAGAGAGTCTTTCTACCTGCGCTACCCACCCACTTCTCTGATTATCTCTCTGGCCTCCTTCCACTGTTTTTCTGCCGCGGTTGTCATACCGGTTTCCGTGCTTCCAAGGGGTGTAAACCCCTGCCTCAATACTTCAAGTGTGTACCAACTGAGCTAGGCCCGTTGGTATACAGCATCCTCCTCATTGTTGTTGTTGCTGTTGTCTTGTCTGATTCTGTGGCGATTCTTGCAGACCTCAATCCTGCGGCGCTCGTTGTGCGTGAGCAGTTGGTCAAGATGGGGTTCGCAAGGTCAACGGTGGAAGCTGCAATCACCGCCTGTGGTATGTATTATAACCGGTCTGCTGAGATCCCAAATCCCAAGATAAAAACAGAACCGTACGGCTCTGGCTGCGTATCCTTTCTGGTGAGCATCAGTCCGGTTCCTATTCCGCCGGCAAGTCAAAAACGAATACCATTTGTAGTAATTTTGTACGCACACCAGCGCTTCTCCCTGTTATGGTTGAGAGATCTGAGAGGGCGGCATTTCTACGTTACCAGCTGTCCGATTGGGAGACCTCTCCAGGAGGTGGTCGAGGGGGAGTTGTCCGGGATCCCGGACAACGACATTTTTGCCACGTGGAAAAAAAAAAAAGGAGGGGGGGGGGGTCTGCGCACTGCCATGGGACCCCCCCCCAAAAAATTGGGGCCATTCTGAGCAAAAACAGAAAAAAATTATAAACAGGCTTTGGGGTGTGTGGGGTGGTGGGGTTGGGTGGTTTCAATCGAATCGATTGATTCGATAGGATCTTGATATGTCAAGATCCTATCGAATCGATCGATTTGACGGGATCTTCTATCGATAGATTGATCGATTGATTGATTGATTGATTGAGAAAAGAGCGGGGAGGGCCGGTGGAGTGATCTCTCCTCCACCATCGTCGGGGCCTTCTCCTACTTCTCTCCATCCTCGTCATCTCTTCTCCTCCACCTCCTCCCCCGCTGCCACCACCGCCGCTGCCGCCGCTGCCGCCTCTTCCTCCACCCCCGTCGGGGCCTCCTCCTCCTGCTCCTTCGTCGTCCTCCTCCTGCTCCTTCGTCGTCCTCCTCCTCCTCCTTCGTCGTCATCATCCTCCTGCTCCTTCGTCGTCCTCCTCCTCCTCCTTCGTCGTCATCCTCCTCCTCTTCGTCTTCCTCCTCGTGCTTCTCCATCGCCATGGCCACCTCCTCCCCTGCTTCTTCTTCTTCCTCCTCGTCCCGGCAATCCCTGTCCCCCTACTCATCGTTCTCCTCCCCATCCTCACTGAATTGATAACGGCCTCCTCCTCTGTTTTTTTTTTTCTTTTCTTTTCTTGTCCGATCAATCAATCAATCAATCAATCAATCAATCAATCAATCAATCAATCAATCAATCAATCAATGAACGATTGAAGATCCCGTCGAATCAATTGTTGATATGTTAAGATCTTATTGAATCAATCGATTCGATGGGATCTTCGATTGATTGATTGATTGAAAAGAGAGTGGGGAGGGCCGACGGAGTGATCGGGGGGCCAATCACTTCCCCCCCCTCCCACTCCACCTCCTCCTACTCCTCATTCTCCTCCCCATCCTCGTCATCTCTCCTGCTTCACCTCCTCCCCCGCTGCCACCGCCGCCGCCACCGCCTCTTCGTCCTTCACCCCTGTCGGGGCCTCCTCGTACTCCTCACCCTCCTCCTCATCCTCTTCTTCTTCTTCATCCTCCTCCTCCTACTACTCTTCTTCTTCTTCTTCCTCCTCCTCCTCCTACTATTCTTCTTCTTCTTCCTCCTCCTCCCTTGTCGTGGCCTGCTCCTCCTCCCCCTCCCCCTCCTACTCCATCGTTGGGCCCTCCTCCTCTTCTTCCACCTCTTCTTCCTCCTCTTCTTCGTCCTCCTCTTCCTCCTCCTCTTCCCATTCCTGGTCCTCCTCGCCGTCCTCGTCCTCCTCCTCCACCGCCGCCTCCTCTTCTTCTTCTTCCTCCTCTCCCTCCTCCTCCTTCATTGTCGTGGCCTCCTCCTCCACCGTATTCGTCCTCCTCCGCCTCTCCTCCTCGTCCTCCATTGTTGGGGCCTCGTCCTCCTCCTTTGTCGTCGTCCTCTTTGTCTTCCTCCTCGCCCTTCTCCATTGTCACAGCCTCATCCTCCCCCGCTTCTTCTTCTTCCTCCTCGTCCCGCCAGTCCTTGTCCCCCTTCTCGTTGTTCTCCTCCCCATCATCATCGAATCCATAACGGCCTCCTCCTTCCTCGTTTTTTTTTTTTTTTTTTTTTTTTTTTTGGTCCAATCAATGAATCAATCAATGAATCAATCGATCAATCGATTGATCCCATCGAATCGATTGAGTGGTAGGATCTTGACATTGAGATCCTATCGAATCGATCGATTGGATGGGATCTTCGATGGATCGATTGGTTGATTGATTGATTGATTGATCGGACAAAAAAAAAAAAAAAAAGCGGGGGAGGNAAAAAAAAAAAAAAAAGCGGGGGAGGAGGAGGCCGTTATGAAATTCGGTGAGGATGGGGAGAAGAACCACAAGTAGGGGGACAGGGATGGGCGGGACGAGGAGGAAGAAGGAAGAAGCGGGGGAGGAGGAGGCCGTGGCGGTGGAGAAGGATGAGGAGGAAGAGGGAGAGATTGACGACGACGGAGGAGGAGGAGGAGGAGGAGGAGGAGGGGGAGGCCCCGACGATGGAGGAGAGGAGGAGGAGGAAGAGGAGGAGGAAGAGGAGGAGGAGGAGGAGGACAAGGAGTAAGAGGAGGAGGAGGAGGACGAGGAGTAAGAGGAGAAGGACGGTGAGGAGGAGTAGGAGGACGAAGAAAAAGGAGGAAGAAGAGATGGAGGAAGAGGAGACCGTGGCGACGGAGGAGGAGGGAGAGGAGGAAGAAGAATACGAAGAGGAGGAGGAGGAAGAAAAGAGGAGGAGGAGGAGGAGAAGGACGGCAAGGAGGAGGAGGACAAAGATGAAGAGGAGTAGGAAAGGGACGAGGAGGAGGAGGAGGAGGAGGAGGAGGAGGAGGAGGAGGAGGAGGAAGAAGAGGTGGAGGAGGAGGAGGCCACGGCGATGGAGGAGGAGGGGGAGAACTTAGAGGAGGAAGAAGAAGAGGAGGAGGAGGAGGAGGACGAGTAGGAAGAGGATGAGGAAGAGGAGGAGGAGGTAGAAGAGGAGGAGAAGGAAGAAGAGGAGGAAGAGGAGGGGGAGGAGGAGGTGGAGGAGGAGGGGGACGGCGAGTAGTAGTAGTAGGAGGAGGAGGACAAGGAGGACGATGGCATTGAGGAGGAGGAGGAGGAAGAAGAGGAGGAAGAAGAAGAGGAGGGCCCGACAATGGAGGAGGAGGAGGTGGAGGAGGAGGTGGAGGAGGAAGAAGAAGAGGTGTAGGGGGAGGAGGTGGAGGAAGAGGAGGAGGAAGACGAAAAGGAGGACGAGGAGAGGAGAAGCGGAAAGAGGAAGATATGAGAAGTGGAAGGAGGAGGAGGGGGAGAAGTAGGAGGAAGAGGTGGACGAAGGGAAGGTGGCTCACCTGGCATGGGCGGGGGATGGTGCGTGGGGTTGCGTTCGTTGACGTCGGAGTTCGGCAATGGCAACGCTGAACTCCGGCGACAGTGCGCGGACGAAGATGCGTGGGGGAGAACGCCCCCCAATTTTGAATTTGAAAATAGCCCAGTCTGGGCCGTCGATCTCCCAGATCTGACAGCCCAGATTAGGCCTTTTTTTTTTCGCTTTTGGAGGCCCTACGGGCCCGCCAACAATTCTTCCCGCCGGGGCCCCGGGTTCGCCTGGCCCCGCAGTCCACCCCTGCACGGCCCAAGTCCATGTCCTAGACCCCCCCCCATTTTTTTTTTTCGATCGGACGTAGGGCCTCCGGCGGACGACCGATCGGTTGTCCGATCGGACAGTCCCTGACAGTCAGGGGGGTCCCGGACGTCCAATCAGGTAAAAATAGCAGCATTGATTACTTGAATTTATTTCTTTTTGGGGGAAGGACACCCCTCACCCCTGGCTAAGTTAGCCTGATGTTCTAATCTCTGACCCTCCCAAGTTCATCATCTGTTTTCCTGTTCTTTTTCTTCTTCTTCTTCTTTTTTTTTTTTTTTTTTTTTTTGTACTTTTGACTTCTTAATGATCTCCCTTGGATTCATGTTATGCACCCCTGCCTCAGCCATTCCTCCTGGGAATCCTTCTGCCGATTTTCCCACTTCCTAGGTGCATAATTTCTCTTCCTATCTTTTCCATCTCCTCCTGCTTCCTTTCTGCCCTTGCTTCTGCTTCCATTTTGTCTCTGGCCTCTGTTGCGTGTTCTTCTCTTGCGCTTTTCCAGCCTGTTTTCCTGCTTCCTGGGAGTCTAAAATTTCCCTGTCCATCTGTGATACCCACCTTCTCCTCAGATTATTTCTCTGGCCTCTGTCCACTGTTCTTCTCTTGCGGTTTTCTTGACACACACACACACACACACACACACACACACACACACACACACACACACACACACACACAGAGGTGGGATGGAAGGGAGGCACCTAAGATCCGGACGAGAGAGAAAGTCTGTCTACCCTTG